GGCGTTGGCCTCTGGTGACTCATGCCCAAGGCCTGAACTGTACGTGACCTGGGCTCAACTGCCTCTCGAGCTGCTGCTTCCGGAAGAAGCCTGGGAAAGGCTTACGCTATCCTGTAACCAACTGGCATGCTGCAACTGTCTGATACCCCACATGCAGAACTTGACAAAAACAGGCCTCCTGTAAATATTATGGCCCGCCTTCACTTAGGGCAGGCACAAGTTTGTTTGTTTGTTTGTTTGTTTGTTTGTTTGTTTTATAAAGGTTGTTGTAGAGGTGGGATACTAGACAGATCATGGCAGTCACCCACAGTACTCGGCCACTCGGTTGTCCAGATGAAACCCCTTCGAAGACCCCACCCTCCCTTCCTCTCATCTCTTTGCTCTGGCGCACCCCCACTCCCTTGCCCTACCCTAGTGTTAACCACCGAAGACCATCACCCATTGCCATCTTGGGGGGGTGACCTTTTTATTTGTCTCCTAACCGACAATGGTTGCAGGTACCGGGGCTAAGCAGAGACTCCTACCCCCTGCTCAGCCCCGGTTGAAGCAGACGCCGTGCAAGCCTGATTGCACGGGGACTTCGGGAGCTAGGTATGAACATGCTACTATAGGTCTTCATGAGGGTGCACAGTGACTCCCTCTAGCTTAGTTGTGTGGTGATGATAGAGACCTGGGTATCCTTCATTCCCTCGTATGTCCCTGGAGCCCGTTCCAGCCATGACACCCTCGACATCCCGTACTAAGGAACTGCTATGCCAGCCCCAACCCTATGCTATGCACTAGGAGGATAGCCAACCCTGTGACGCCCAACCTCACGCCCGGCGCGACTTCCTGATCGTAGTGGGAGTGGGCTTGGAAGTGTGAAAAGGCGTGTGCCAAGGATTTTTGGGAAGTGGGGGTGGAGTCCCAGGTCGGAACTAAGATCTCCTGTGGCAAGTCTCAGGGATAGGAATGCAAAAGGATGGGCAGTGGTTGAAGTCTGAGCGTGGGCCTACCGCCTTTGTTGGCCCCGTCGTCTGGGTCGGATTCTTATTTGGTGCACTGGTGGAACGCTATGGCTATCGCGCTGTTCGATCACTGTCACTTGTTGGCGTCGTATGGTACTGGTCTCAGAATCCGATGCGGCTGGCCTTAATCGAAGGCTGTGCGCCCGTCGTTCTTCCTCCGAACGAGTTCGTCGGATGAAGCCGGAGGCTCGATACTCGTGGTCTTGCAAGCACTCCGAGCACGGGGGTTGGGGCCAATACGGAGCGATTGCACACAAGGGGATGATGGTCAGCGAATGGAAGGGCAATATGCGGTGGTAGGGAGGGAAGTCGGTCTCCAAAATAATTATTCATGGTTCGACGACGAGGTGACACGTATACGAGCTGGGAAATTCGGGGCGGTGAGGGATGCGCTCTCGGGCTCGGTCGATATCCCACTCACAGATACATTTGTTTCCCACTGGGTATGGAAATTCAGGAAGTTTTCTTCCCGGTCGTACAGACAGACACACGTGTTGCAATTACTCCCGGAATTCCCGATCGCTAAAACACTTGCAATCAGTGACATGAAAGGGAATGCCGAAATTCATGTTGCAAGTCTGGGGGGAACATCGTCATTCGGGGGGGTAGTCAAGTTCAGGTTTCGCAGACGCGCGCGTAGGCAACGATCGTCTTGATCGGGCCTATGTGTGCGTGCGTAGGGCCTGTCCTCGATCAAGTAGGTGAAAGCCAATGAGATACGCGATGGGTCGTCTTTCTAGGGAGATGATCATTTATCATGCCCAACCAAGTCATGCGCGATGGGTCGTCTTTCTAGGGAGATGGTCATCTATCATGCCTACCCAACTCATGCATAGACATAATCGTGCTTATCTATCATCCATGCAACTAGCTTACATACAACC